GAGAGAGAGAGAGGTAAATCTTTTTCACAGGCACCGATGCTGGTGCCTAGTATCCTCCCCCTCTCGGGCCCCGTTGTCTCGCGCTTTAATTTCCAGCCTCGACATTTGCGTAACCCAGTTTCGCCATTGTTCGATTCAATGGTAGATCGTAACGTCCGCCATCCGGATAGAAGATTATAATGCTCGCGTGTACATGGCACTGCGCATCGTTGCGCCTCGGCTGTGTGAGTGTGAACGCGCGCGCCACGGTGTGCGCGCAACTCTCCGAAAGTGCGCGCGCGAGCGCGAGCTCGTATTAGTATGCGCGGGGCGATAAGCGAGCGCGACGAGAGTTCGCGCAACGAAATTTACGAATTCCGCCAACTTTCTCCTCTTGTCCTTATCTCCGCTCGCTCCGCAGCTCCGACACGCCGCAACCTCGGGCCAACCTCGCCGTTGCACCAATTCCCACTGCGCATCGTGCATCTTTCTCCTTTTTCCTCCTCGAAACAAACGGCGTAACCAGCCGTTACGTCTTACGATTTCGTTTGCACACGAGACGACCGCCGACACGCGATTGTTGAGCTCGTTCGTTCGTTCAATAATCGATCATCATTCCGCATTCTCTTTCACTCGAGAGAAGTGATTAAAAAATTGGCGATTATTAAAGAAAAAAAAAAAAAAAAAGAAGAAAGAGAAATCGATCGATCGATCGATCCTTTCTTACGAATATACATCGACGAATCGGATATTTCGTTATCGCGTCTCTCACGTTACTTTCATCCGTCAAATAAGCGTTTGAGCAATATCGCCACATATACATTCGCCGTCCAGCAAATGTCATTGTTAGAAGTTGTAGGTATGGAAATGTGTACGCGTTACGAAATATACTATAGGTACTGGGTATTTGAAGTGGGAATAACGCTTCGCGTCTATTTTATATAATTTTCACGGTGTAGAAAGTAATAGCTTAAATATCGCGATGAACGATCGCGATGATTGTAGTAAATCGCACCACGTCACACAGTAGGAAACGTTCATATCCATACTACTATTCACCGCTGAAAGGGTTAATAAATGACACGGTCACTTTTACGACGTGAGGATTAATTCGTCGGCGAGGTCGCTACGCGAGGTGTATACGACGTGTGAAAACCGTGAGGAAGAGGAGAGGAAGAAAAAAGAGGAGAAGAAAAAGAAAAAAGAAAAAAAGAAAAAAGAAAAAAGAAAAAAAAAAAAAAGAAAAAAGAAAAACGTGTAAATACCGATATATACCGTAGATAAAAAGCTAGTTTTCTTATCAACTTCGCCGTCAACTCGGCGAAAAAGCTTCGTTCGATGATACGCGAAGAAGATGTTACACAAACGGGGGAGGGAGACGACTTCGAAGCGAATAAGAACGCGTCGCATTTTTTCGTCCGCTTCCTTCTCTCGGGAAAAGAACGGAAGCAGGGGGGAATGGAAAAGGAACACGCTCCAATTTCTCGATCGAGGGGAGATTTCGTATCCACCGCCAAAGCTTGCCGCGGACGTGCTCCGATTTATCGACGCGCGGCAAGGTAGAACTCGAACCCGACAACGTCCCGTTACCAACGCGTCGTTGAAGCGATCAAGGGAGAGGGCAGCACCTACAAAGAGGTAAAACTACTCGCGCGAGGTAAAATCGGCGGGTTTCGATCGTTCACCACCCCCTCCACCACCCCGAGGAACAACTGGGCCAGAGTTTCTGCATCCAGTGGCACGGGGCCTTGCCCCCACCTACCCACGAATGGCACGAGACCCCGCCCGGCGAGTCTTCAAGGCCTGAACAGAAGAAGAAAGACGAGCGTAAGCGTAAGCGCGGACGTAATGCAGCCGGTCGGCCAGCGATTGACCCTGAACTTCACGAGCCGTGGTGCTTGCTAACGCCAGCAACAAACGGCGCAGACGCACCAGCGATCATTTCCTTATTCAGCGATTTTCTCGGTAAACCGAGAGACACCGCACCACTTGCGTATGCGTAGCAGTACCACACGTTTCTCGCCCAAGGACCGCTTTTCCCCCCCTGCCCCCTCTCCTTTCCCCCAGAGAGAGAGAGAGAGAGAGAGAGAGAGAGAGATCCGTCCCTCGACTCGCTTCTTCGCAGTTATATCTTATATCTCGTTTGATCTTTGGGTAGGAGAGGCTCGTTTTGATTACGAGCCGCGATATCGGCGTTGAAGTTTTTACATCGAAGATCGATATCTCTAGCGTAGATACGCCAAGTTTTTTTTTCATTTTTTTTTTCTTTTTTCGTTTCACGAGAAAATAAGCGGCGATTGTTGAAAACGTATCGAATATAGCTGGCCTTGATCTCGAATGAACGACGATTAAAGAAGGAAGGAAGGAAAGAAAGAAAGAAAGAAAGAAAGAAAGAAAGAAAGGAAAGGAAGAAAGAGAGAAAGCAATGGACGCGATCGCGTAAGAAAAGGCGGGATTCACGCGACTCTTACCCAAGGCCTTCCCTTTCCAATCCGATCGGATCACTCGTCGAAGGCTACTTACGTTGTTGAATACCCGCTGACGAACTCCTATATCATTCCACCGTCACGTGAACCGTTTCCTTCGAAATTTCAACGAAATTATCTTCCATCATCCTAGCCTCTCTCTCCCAATTTCTTCCCTTCGAAAATACGAAATACACGTAACTCGTTGCTCGAAATATCCCCCCTCGACCCGACTTCATCGGTTTCCTTTTTCTCCACGCGGCGAATTCTTTATAGGTTATCGATCGAGTTTACTTCCAACTTCTCAACTACCCATCCCGTGCGAATTGGCTCGACGAAATCCAAACTGGCGGTAGGCCAGTTTGCAACATTGTAAGATTATAAGGATCTCGATCGAAAAAATTCATTCCACTGAAAAAATCCATTTTCACCTTCTCCCCCCACCGCTGAAACCAAGGATAGAATCGTCGTTTCGATCACGTTTCGTTGCAAAAAGGCAAGAGAGCGAGAAACGTCGGTGAAACGTAATCTCGCGGGACACGTCACCGCCGCCTTCCGCCGTTTCCACGCGGGGCGAGGAACGAAGGATGAAATTAGTGTAACGACCAAGCCCGCCCGCCCGCCCCCTCTCCCCCTCCCGCGCACAAGCGTCAATTTTATCGGGTTAAGGACGCGTATCTCGCCTCGTTGCGAAAGAATTTCCACCAGAAAACGACGGTTGGCTCTGTAACAAAACGTCGCCTCAACAAAACGACGCTTATCCGAGAGGATGGAAAATGGGGAAGAATAAATAGAGGATGATACAATAAGACGAGTTCTGTTTTAACTATCGCCTCGTCCATTCAATTTTTTTTCCAGACGATGTATACTGACGGTCTCCTGACCCTCCACTATGGGAAGCATCCAGCGACCTTGGCCGCGGAGGTCGGAGCCTGGTACACCGGGGACCGTCACGTGGACGTGACGTTGGCATGCGACGACGGCTCGGTGGTGAAGGCCCACCGCGTCGTCCTGGCAGCGGCCAGCCCCCTATTGGCTAGTCTCCTCCGCAACCCGGCCCTGGACCACGTGGTCCACTTGTCCGGGGTGCGGAAAACCCAGCTCACCCACCTCCTCGAGTTCCTCTACAACGGAGAGGCTCTGATTCCGGTAAGAATCATTTTCTCCCTTTCCTTCCAAATAATTTTAATATGATAATTTTTCTTCGACGATTGGAGGAAAAATTGTTTTATTTATCGCAGTCGACGGAGCTCACGCCGCTCAGGGAATTGTTCGAGCTTCTTCAGATAAAGTCGGAGCTGTTCGAGCCCAATCAGCCCCAGACCTCCACCAACTCCGACCCCGAAAGGATACCGACCCCTCAGCCCTCCGAGGGCCAGGAGAGCTCCAGCTACGAGTCCCAGTACGACGGCAGGTCGGTATCGCTATTTTTAATTTTCAACTGTAATCGTGCTCGATTGTAATTGTTATCGATGCGTTGTTATTATTATTTTAAAATATTATTTTATAATAAAATTTACTCTAATTTAAAAGTTAAATTAACTTTCTTCTTCTTCTTCAAAGAAAAATAAGATTTTAACCATTTTATATTTGTATTTATATTTAAGATGGTTAAGTCAATCAAGTAAGAAGAGCCCTCTAGAGTGTTATATTATATTATATACAATTATATTATACATATATTTACTAGTGTAAATATATATATATATTTGTTAATGTAAATATATGTATAATAATAAAATATAGGATATGTGAATGCAAAGAGTTAAAGCGGAATTTTAAAAGAAATTTAATGGAATAGACACCGAAATATAAATAAGGTATACTTTGGAATCATAGAATTTTAAGATTTAAAAATAATAGAAACAGAAAAGAGGGACAAATATGATTAAAAAATTATACATGGTAATACAGGAGCCTGTTATTACCGTCGATAATATAGAACTGAGTTTAAGTTGCCAATTGGAGGCTCATATTCATCAAAATGCTTAAAATTGACTTTGGAAACGAACGAAACAGGGAGCGAAGAAGTAGAAGTAGAGACAACTAATTCAGAATCGGTGAATTAGTTAATGAAGAATAACAACTTTTTATATTAAAATATATAAAATAAAAATATTAAAACTATTTCCGTTTATCGCTCTGTTTACGTTCTTACGGTCTTCTTCTTAACATTTGGGCCTCGTGACGAAGTCACGCTGGCCGACGAACGTGTTAAATTTAAATTATCGATCGATAATGATGCGCTCTCGTGAATTTGACGCAGCGACATTTATTTATTCGTTCGAAAACTTTTTTTTTTTTTTTGAAAATATCGCTTCGTGGAATAATACGTCGTTAGATTTTCTTTTTGACCTGAAATTAGATCTGAAAGTTTCCGAGTTTTATTTCTGTTCTGTTGAGAAGATATAAGAAGACGAAGAATATCTGAGAACTGCGTGTTGTTGGTAATTGAATTCGTCATTGAAATATCGCACGAAACAATTTTCTTTCTTAAAACATTTAATACGTTAATTCGAGATCATTTTGACACGTTCGTGATTTCGTCGAGTTCCTCACGAAATATTACGATAAACATAGAAGTAGTTTTAATATTTTATAATAAAATTTAATTGAGATATATTTATATATATATATATTAGTTGTTAGTTTTCCAAAGTCAATTTTAAATATTTTGGTCTGAATACAAGCCTCCAATTGGCAACTTCAACTCACTTCTGTTACCATATGCGGTATAATTTTAGATTTAAAATTGTATGTAAAAATGCAGAATGATTCGCTAATAAATCATATTTGTCCTTTCTCTTTTCTGTTTCTATTATTTTTAAATTTTAAATTCCGATATCATATTTTATATTTACATCTCAATGCTTATTCCATTATTAAATATCCTATATTTTATTATTATACATATAATACAATACAACATTCTATATAAGGCTCTTCTTAAATACAAATATAAATGGTTGAAATTATTATTTTTCTTGAGAAAGAAAGATAACCATCACCCATATACGGGCGACGAACGTGTTAAATTAGCCAAGAAATTCGAAGAATGGAGGGAGTGAGAGAATTAATGACCGACGATCGACGGTTCCAGGCAGTCCAACAATCCCGCGGACTGTTGCTCGGTGCTCATAAAGACGGAGGGGTGCGAGGAAGAGGCGGAGGTGGACGTGGAAGGCGTGGAGGAGGCGCTCCTCACGGAGGGCAACAGGGAGAGCAGCATAGAGCCGCCCAGGCGGAGGGACAGCTCCGACCCTGTCAACCTCAGCTTGAATTCGGGCACCTCCACCACCAGCGAGAGCTCCCACGACATCGTGCCCAGGTAAAGAACGACGAATTTCTTGAAATATATATTGTTGACTGGTTATGCGTGAAGATATACAAAAGGATACGAAATTTCAGTTTCACTTTCTACTCTACAACGAACGAATATATATATCGAGCGTTTTACGAAAACAGATCTCAAGCTGGCAATAAGAGAATTATATTATAAAATATAAAAAATATATATAATATATTAAATATAATATAATAAAAATATAAAAAATATAAAAAAAATTTCAACCGAATCGCGCTATACAACACGAATACAAAACACAATTTGTATTCTCCAGGCCGGAGAAACAGTTGCTGGAGAGGCGGGAGTCGCTGGAGGAGGCGGAGGAGAGGAGGAGGCAGCTGGCCGCCCGGCTCGCGTTGGGCTTGGAGCCCGGTAAGCGGAAGCCCGAGGAGATACCGATCCCCCCCGCGGAGGCGTACATCGTGACGCCGCACAGGAAGCGGAGGCCAGGCTTCCACAACGCCCCCGCGCAGAACCCTGCCTTCGTGCCGTTCAACCCTGGATTCGAGACCCCGAGGAGGCTGCAGGCGCCCCGTCCCCTCAGCGTCTCCACACCCCCCTACCTGGTACGTGCCCGCCATACCTGACCCATCCCTCGAAAATAGGAGATAAAAAATAAGGATGAAACGTGGTTTCGCAGCAGGACAGGTCGGTGACGCCGCCCGGAGGATCGCACAGGCCGCCGAGCGCGGACCCGGCGACGGCGGCGGGCCTGGAGCCGCCCTGGGGCTCTTGGGCCCTGCCCTCGACCAGGGCGCCGCCGCCCCCGCCCACGGACGACCCGCCCAAGTCGACCCCGGTGCGCGAGTATCGGTGCAGCTACTGCGGGAAACAGTTCGGCATGTCCTGGAACCTCAAGACGCATCTTAGGGTGCACACGGGCGAGAAACCGTTCGCGTGCAGGCTGTGCGTCGCAATGTTCAAGCAGAAGGCCCACCTGTTGAAGCACCTTTGCTCGGTGCACAGAGGGGTGATAGCGGCCCCGGACAACACATTCACCTGTTGCTTCTGCTCGTTGAGCTTCGACAGCCTTCAAGAGCTCATCAGGCATCTGTCCGGGCCCCACAACAATCTGCTTCTCAGCAAGAATCTGCACGACTAGCGATCACACGGATAGGACTAGCCGGTTATTCCCCTCCCTTCCCCCTTTTATCTCCCCTCCCTCCGCCCCCCCGGTACCCCTCGATGCGCTCGCCCCGCGTGCGCGTCGACGAGAATCGATCCGGGGGGGAGGGGAAAAAAGTAGGCCGCCGTCCCGTCGATTTCATATTTTCGGGAGAAGTGACGCGCGAGTGCCTTTCAAGTTCCGATTTTTCCGTGATCAACGTGAGATACGATGATGATGATGATGATGATGATGATGATGATGGTAATGATAATAATAATAATAATAATAATAATAATAGTCCCCTCCTTCGCCATATTTTCGAATATAACGATCTCGAGAGTATCCGTTCTTATTATTATTATTTACGAATATATTTTCATTCCAACGTATAAAAAGCTCGTAAAATTTTCGAAAAATTCTAATCGTTATTTGTTCGACCAACTTTTCGTGATTTCTTCTTTTCGAACGAATCTCCTTTCCCTCCCCCTGCTCCCTTTCTTCGAGAGGGAGGGAGAGAGAAAATAAAGAAGCATCGGAAGTGCCTTTCGCGATTAAGAAAGAAAAGAAAAAGCGTTACGTCGTTTTCGCGAAACGTCGATTTCCAAGTTGTGTGTCGAAAACGACGCAACGAATTCTCCACACACTTTATTATTATTATTATTATTATTATTGTTATTATAATAAGCGATGACCAGTAACTCTGACCAAATAACATATTTCCGGCGATCGACGTATTCGTGTATCGGAAGTGTGTGCGTGTGTCGGACTAATGTTCAACGGTCTCCTCGCGTCAAGGAAACGCGTTAAGAAAGTCGAAACGAAAGAATAAAGTATATGAGAAATATAATAAGAAGAGAAAGATGGAAAAGGATACATAGATATATATATATATATATATATATATATATATATATATATA